CTTCCCATCTGTGACGATGGACTCTTGTAGGAGTCCGAAAGCTTAAAAAAACAAACAAATCGTTCCAGCGTTCGACCCTCTTTCTTCTTTACCGAGTCTACCTTATCTTGGTCGGTAATGTCACTCTGCCTATATGGCATGAGCCGCTGTGCGGCCAGTGACGGGGCTCGAGGTACAACCCCATGACACAAAGGGATGAGTGAGTCCTGTAGCCGATCTTTGAGCGTCTGTCCACCATTAAGCGTGGAACCGGTTTGTGACTGCCAATATGTCTATAAAGGGGTGGTGTGGTAAAAGTTGCGAACGTGAAAAAACACACTACTGAAATTGAGTAAATAGTATAGAAACGGGCACTTAAACATCAGACAAAGGCACTATAGCACATACTGTATCCTTATGAGACCGGCCAATACAATCAGCCTTCGCGTGTAACAAGTGTAATACCTGCAAAAATTTCCTAAAGCATGCGATTCAGTATTTTCAGATGGAAAGCTAGTTGCACTCGGCAAGTACGCCATCCTCAGAGACTTCAATTTGCACGCAAGAGTACTCCCCTTCCCCCCCCATGAGGCTGCTTAAAACGAGCGTAGAGTCGCACAACTGAACATCAGGTTCGGCGCACCAATATGGGACAAAAATAAAAAACAAAAGTGTAAAAGATGACCGCACAGTCTTTTCTGCTAACTCGCATTATTTATTTAAGAAATTACGATATAAATGAACAGGCCTGAAGAGAATTTAACTAAAAGAAGAGGTATGCTCGCTTGCCAATTTATCTTTGGCATTTTTAAATGGGGATTTTCGCAAACTTACACAAATAGAAGAGCGGTGCAACATGTTAGGAGCCGTCCTAACGATGCACGCAGACTCGGTCACGTTATCGGTGGGCCAACACACTCAAAGACCGCGCACGCACGTGCGTGCGTTTAAGGAGCCGAGGTCACAGGGGGCTTCCAAAGGATGGTAATGAACCAATCAGATTGTCGATCGAGTCGCTAGTCGCGAGAGGACACAAGCTGATTGGTCCGATTTATAACCTTCCTTGCCCAAATAACCGTAAGAGTGATACCATAAAGGACTTCCTTTTCTCGCGACCTCGTTTCCTGTTCTCTTTTTAGGATTGAAACAAAGCGTCTGGGGCGGCACAATGTCTAGCTTTCACGATAGTACAACACTACAGACGTCTGGACCCTTGTGGAGCTAGCATAAAATCCGGGCTTGCATGCGTCCTTCCCCGTAAAGAAAATCAGGCCTTACATACACACGTTCATCGATCTGAGAGACACAGATACAACCCCACAGTTGAGTGTGTCTGCTCTGCGCTAAATGCATTTACACTCGAGTTCGACTTGCAGCAATCCGATTAGTGCGATTGTCCACGAACCAGACTGACTTTTTCCCGCCCGCCCCTAGGCAATCCGAACACCGAGCACTTGCACATGAGACGGTAGACAAAGGAACAGTTCGAATTAGTCATCCTAGTGAAGCGATCTTCTAGGAACCGATTTACAATACGCCTCCGAATTCGTGCAACACGCGGACATTTGTGGAAGATTGATACTCATTCGCTAATTGGAACTGAGTGACCTTGTAATACTGATTATCGTGTAGCCTATTCTGAAGTCATTTCAGTCACTATAACGAGCTCCTTTCTGACTGTTGACAAAAAGTATGTATTGCTTAAAATGGCTGCTTATGTAATATGCTTTTTTATCATTGATTTTGACTGTTTTTATAAATCCCAAAAATATTTTGTGAAAAACATACACTAAAAAATTATTTCCCCTACTTGTTTGGTAGCAAAGTACACCTTTAAATGGTAAAATTAGAGAAAGTGTATCTTTCGGTTTTAGAAAAACTTTTTATCGTGAGCCTTTTACTATTTTGAGGTGTTTATTTCCTATCAGTCAATTTATTAATGCTGCGTATAATGCATCCAGCATTATTCTATGCTAACTACGTTGCTTCTTTCTCAAACCGTAGGCAAAAGCGCACCTTTCCTTAAACAGGACGTACCCAGCGTGCAGTTTGTAAACCTTGAATTCAGGTGCAGCAGTTAGTAGGTTTCAAAATTATTTCACAGTTTAGACATTTTTTGAAAACCGAAAGATTCCCCTTTATTATGCTAGCAGTCAGAAAGAAGCTCGTTAAAAAGCCAGCCTCCTATAGTGACTGAAATGACTTGATAACAGGCTACAGGACAATCAGTATTAAATCTTACTCTGTGCCGATTAGCGAGTGAGTGTCAATCCTCCGCAAATGTCGGCATGTTGCATTAAATCGGAGCCGTACTGTAAATCGTGCGTGCGTGCAGGGTCTATTTAACCGCTAGTCAGGATAGAGAGATAGATAGAAAGAGAGAGAGAGAGCTGTGCCTTGCGCGACGTCTGTGGCAGGAACAGCCATGTCTACCCCCTCAGCGCCCTCAAATAGTGTGTACTGTAGGGTCTGAAGGCTGGGAGGGGGGAGGAGGGCGATAACTAAAGTCCATTCAATGTCTGTAGGGCAAGGAATACGAGTAAGGAACAGCTGTCATTTGAATACCTGTTTTACTTTGTCAAGTGGAACTGTACCGGGCTCCGGAGAAGGTTTGGGCGGCTGTTAGAATCGATAAAACAAGTTGATAACAAGAAATCCGAACAAGGTGTGCATAAGGCAGAGGGTAAATAACATAAAGGTTTGATAAGTCCAGAAGCAAGCATTAACGCCCTCCTCTCACGTCACTTCCACAGGCTTGCAGAATATTTTAAGAGAGCAAGCGTCCAGCAAGTTACTCCTGTTGTATTGGGGCAATAGGCACACACATTCACATTTAACTACTGAATTACAGCATGTGGCGTTTCGAATGAAAAAGGCTGCAGTTCGGGCGATGGATCACGCTTAGGAAGAACTACTTGAGCGGGGTTGTAATATGTGTTTTAACGACGGGTTCAGCGTCGCTAGTGTTATAAC